GCAGCACTGAGGAGCCGGACTCTCCGTGGGGCGCGGGGAAGGGTTCCAAGGCAAGGCATCGATCACATGGTGGGCGTGGCGAGGGCCACACAGGGACCTGTCTCTGACTGTTACAGACACCATCATCTCTCCTCTGCCCCGTGGGCCTCCTTTCTGTCCCTTGAACACTGCAAGCTCATCCCCACCTCGGGGCCTTTGCACCTGCTGTGCACCTGCCTGGAATGCTCACCTGGCTGTCTCACTCAGGTCTCTGCTGAGTGAGGTCTTCCTTAATCACATGGTCTAAGGTTACACACCCCCGTACACCCTGCCCTAGTCACTCTTTATCTCATGGCTGTTTTTCATAGCATCCATACAATCTGACATTATTCGGTTTATCTGTTTGATAGTTTGTAGACTTTGAGCTCCATGGTTGAAGGGCTTTGCTCTCTGGTTCCTCACTGTACTGTGAGCACCTAGAACTGTGCCAGGCACCTAGTAGATGCTCATTAAATTTGTATGTGTGAGAGAGAGAGAGAGAGAGAGAGAGAGAGGAGAGAGAGAGAGAGAGAGAGTGACCGAATTCTTCTCTTTGGAGACCTCAACCCTGACTGCCTCATGCCTTTTCAGCTCAATCCCCACCATCACTGAGCAGAGTCAGGATCCTACAGTCCCCACACGAAAGTCCCAGGTCATGGCCCAGGACAGTTAGTGGCGGCCAGGGAGGTCAGGCACACGGGACTTCCCCACCCGCAGCTGTGGCCAGAGCGTGTTCACTAGGAAGGTGGCAATGACTGGCATGGCACGGGACCCATGGTAGGTGCTCAGGAAATGTTTATAGCATCCATGTAAACAGCCTGATGTCTAAATCCACCCCCATTAACACTGCATCAGTTGTCACTTCGGCTGTGGGAGAGCCTGGGGCATCTGTGGGCAACCTTGCTTTACTGAGGCAGAAAACAGGGCTGCTTCGTCCCGAGAAGCTGCTGTTTGCTGGTGCCCCATTTCAGATGGTCCCTAACAGCTCAGGCCCCACTAATGCAGGGGAAGATGGATGCTTCCCAGCATATGTGCCGAATATCACTTTACGCGTTCATAACTTGAACATTATGCAGAGGTTCATCAAATTTTATTTTCTTTCCTCTCTGAGGAGAGCATTTCAGCTTAGCTGGGCTGTTCTAATTTTTTCTTTCTTTTTTTTTTCTTTTTCTTTCCCCCGCCCACCTGCATGTCATTTTGTTTGACTCCTCTGTAACTAAAAGAACTTCCACTTCCCAGCTAGACCCCTCTGGTCTCAAATCGGAGATACTCCAAGAGGGGTTTTTTTTTTTTTTTTTTTTTTGGTGCCTTCCCTACAAACAACTCAGAGCACATGAACAGATCTCTGCACAGATTTGCAGGTGGCCCAGCAGCAGGGCTGAAATCCTGCAGCGGCCAGCATCCCCCACACTGCAGCCAGGGACACAGGGAGGAGATCCATGGCCCCACCTGCCCACGTTTCCTGCTCCTCGGGGGACAGCGGGTGCTGTAGAAAGAGCAGGGTTTTGGAGCACCCTGCCCTCGGCCCTGCCTCAGTGAGTGTTCTAGTCCTGTTGCTTTGCTGCTATGTGACTTGGGGCAAGGCACTGAGCCCCTCTGGGCTGGTTTCCTCTGACCCACAGTGGGAGAGCTTCGAGCAGCATCCTGGGAATGCTCACATTTGATAAGCCAGGTGATGTGCTGGGCACAGGGCCAGGCACGTGGAGGGCATTTTGTGTGTGTGAGTTCCCATCCTTTCTGCTACCGATGCAGAGTAAAAAGCTAGGGAACGGTTAGTTCAGGATGGAGATGGAGATGGTGTTTTAGATACTAGGATTCTAATCATCGTATGAATAACCACAGCCCATGCGTGGTGCCTGCCCTGTGCCAGGCCCTCCTCTAAATGCTTTGGAAGTTCATTCTACAACACCTCTGTGAGGTAGTAGGTATTATTATATCCCCATTTTATGGAGACAAAAATCAAGGCATAGAGAGGTAAAGTGACTTGTCAAGGTCACGCAGCTGATAAGTGCCAGAGCTGGGGTTAGGACCAGGTTGCAGTCAGTACCCGTGATGTGTGGCCTCTCAGGACTGATCTGAGGGGAGTCCACTGAGGCTCACAGTGTGAGGGCGGGTGGGGCGCAAGGCCATGAGTACAGAAGGGGGTATGAGAGGGTGCGCGTCCTGGGCGAGTGTGCAGGGTCTCCCAGCCCCTCCTGTTATTCTTATCAGCTGGAGAGGCGTTTGTGGATCTCACTTCATCTAGCCTTCTCCTCTGCCCTTCTGACCCAGGACGAGATGGTGCCCTGTGGGGGCTAATGGAGCAGGAAGGGCCTGAATCGCCACCCAGCCCCACCCCACTCCAGTCCTGTTGAATTTTTCTCTGCAGGAGCGAGCCTACTGCAAGTTTAAGGAGCAGTTGGGCAGATTCTGAAAGGTTTTCAGGGGCTTTAAAATGTGATGGTGTGTGGAAGAAAGGAGAGAGCGAGAGCGAGAGAGAGTAAGAGAGAGAGAGAGAGAGAGAGAGAGAGAGCGAGCACGCACGTGCGCCAAGGGGCCAGTCTGCACCCGCGTCAGGTAGAGAGAGAGAGAGACTGAGAGAGAGAGAGAGAGAGCGCATGTGCGCCAAGGGGCCAGTCTGCACCCGCATCGGGGTTGGGGTGGAGAGAGCCTATACCCGCTGACTCTGAGCAGCCTAGCCTGTTAGGAGACACTTCTGGAATCAAACCCTCCCAGTGTCATCTCGCGTGTTGTCCCCAGGGAGGGCATCTTAACGGGGCCTCTCAGGGGAGGGTCGAAGATGCCGAATGAAAGGTAAGTACTTGCAGATGGGGCTGTCTTGAAGGCTCGAAGCTCCGAGCTGGTTTAACAACGTGTGGAAAGAAAAGGAGACCTGTCGGATTGGACTCCAGGGAATTCAACACTCGCCTCCCTCGGGAAAGCTGCAGGGACTGGGGGGAGGGGAGCAAAGGGCCTGGCAGGGCAGCTCCTGCTCCCTGCTCAGGTCACGCTGGGTCATTGCGCCTTGCTCAGCAGCACTGCCTCCCTGAATTTACTTGTTAATTCCTTTAATTTCTCGTTTGTCTGCCTCCTCCTGCGTGCACACTGCGAAGGAGACCAGGGTCGAAATAGTTCCCACTCAGTCCCCGGTGCCTGGAAACATAGGGGTTCAATAAGTTACATTATTAGCTGACCACAATACTGATGCTCATTACAGCACAAGGTTGTCCAGTGCCTTCTGTCGGGTGCCTCACCGGTATGCGCTCGTTCTATCCTTACCGGGGACACGACAACGGAGACCAGGGGTGAAAGGAACTCTGGTTTATGAGTCGTGAGTGTCCAGATGAGTCACTTCACCCCTCTCAGCCTGTTTTTCTCGCTGGAAAATGGGCCGGGGACTTTCTTGCAGCTTTGCTATGAGGATTACATGAGATAGTGCAATGAAGTTTTGGGAAAAAAGCCAGGGCCTCCCTCTCCCAAACCCCCCGACCCACCAGAAACCTCTGTTGGGTCAAGTAAGTACAAGGCAAGTAAGACACACTCCCTGCCGGAGAAGGGGAGACAGTGCTGTTGAAAACCGGACGCCCTCAGAGAATCTTGCCTGCGATGCGCTTTGTTTGGTCCCCATGCTGGTTTTAAAATTCTTAAATTTTGTCAGGAGATTTCATGTTTTAAAAGATAAAGGTTTTTGGCTTGTCATGAGAAAGCTGAGGGTCTGAGCACACGGCCCCAGTGCCCGCATGGTCACTGTAGGCTGGAGAGGGGGGCGCCTGCCCCCACCTCAGAGCCCTCCAGTCTCGTCCATCGTCTGCCCAGCCCTGTGATGGGGTGGGTCTGCTGGACAGGACTCCAGGAGGAGGGCTGAGGTGACCCCGGGGGAGGCAGAGGATAGGAAAGCCTTCCCATACAAGACCCTTGAGCTCAGGTTTTAAAGACACACACAGTGCTCACCAGCCAGATGGGCAGTGGGTGCTAGAGGGCGTTCCCCAGCACGGGCGACAGCATGCGCCGAGGCCAGGGGGGAACGAGCAGGCGTATTCAGAGCTCTGTGAGCAGCGCGGTGCGACCTGTGAGGAGGAGAGGGCTGGGAGTGGGGCCTGGGTCTCCTCCCACAGCGTTTGCGGTGGGGGCCGATGGCAGCAGCAGAGTGAATGTGCCAGGATCCCCCTTCCCAGGTGCCAGGCCTCACC